GTTTCATTTTGCTTTATTCCTTTCTAAACCAGGTCGATTGATTCTGATAATGCCGCCTCTAAGGTAAATCCTTCTCACATTTATTCTTTTATGCCTCTTTCAATATAAAGCTATATTGTTTTTGTCTGTTTGTATGCCAGCTCATAAGAAGATCAACAATAACGGTGCGTCAATCGCAATTTATTTTGCAACATTCCGTGTTAAATCTGACACCGAATTTCCCCTCTAACAATTTTTTAAATATCTAGACTACCAATAATGATTTGTTTTTTGCCTACTTTTTTATGAACTAGCCCTATTTTTTTACCTGCACGTCTGTTTCTGAATTGCAATAACAACTTTCGGCTAATTTTTTAATAAAGCTTTTGTGCCTGCTTAACTCTTCTTTCGCGTAGTCATATGCATTCCTATGAGTTTACTAACAATGTTAGCTTCTGGTATGTATCTATGTCCTAGTGAATAATTGTTTTTTGCACACAATTGGTTTAACTATTCAAAATATGTTAAATAAACCAATTTGCTTCTCAATCACGATTTTAAACAAGTTTGTTATTATCTTACATAGGCTGTACTTATTTTTTTTTCTTATTTGAATGCCTATACTTTACCTCGATTCATTACTTTTTTAAACAAAATGTGTTTAATGATAGTAACCAAGATCCTTTGATTAGTCACAAAAGAATTATTTTCTTTAATCCACTTCATGTGTCTTTCATAATCGGTATTTTTCTTAATTAATCCAAATTATCGTACACATCCGCGATATCTTCATTAATCTATTCATCACATTACTTTTGATGCAATACTTTTGTAGTGGTCTGACCTCATTATCCTAAGTTAGCCTCTTTATCACAAAGACTTAGATTAATTTTCATGATCTAGATTTATCTTTTATAGTGGAAATTATAATTGACAGGGCCGGCATCGTTATCAGCAAGTCTTTAAAGTCTTGCTGATCCCTTGATTAACTTCCTTCATAAAATTAATTATATTTTTTTTATCGTTAGCCTATTGCATATAATTGGACTATTTGCGTAATATAAATTTAGAATATTTCATTTTAGTTAATTTTTAGACCTAAATGTTATTTCCTTTGTTTTGGTTGCACTCTTCTTTGGACATTAAAAGTGGTCCGACTACGTTTCGCAACTTTCTTGTGTTGTTAGAGGGATAGGAAATTTTTTGCTATAGCAGGTATGATAATTCCCAGAGCTAGACCTTGGTCTTAGTACATTACTAGAAGTTTCGCAGGAATTGCTAATTAGTTTGCTAATTTTGTCAACAAGATTCTACTGGTCAAAGAGAAAAGTGCATTTAATCCCCGACAGACTTTTTGCAAAACGGTTGTTCTATCATCCCTCTTTTTGTCCTGGCTCATCTATCTACTGCCTACAATCTTATCACAATTTTACCTTGTTTATATTAAATAATTTTAGAGGCGTGGGTTTTTATAGCATTAAATGTAGACTTTATCACTTGCTTATTTACCCTGCTTAATGTAAATCTCGATTTAGCAGAATTGCTGATCCGAATCGGATCTCAATCTAAATCTACCTAATGCCTCCAGAGGTTAGTTTCTTATATTTCTGCTTAACGTATTTCACTCGTTTATACTTATTTCACTCCAAGTATACGTTTTACTTCATTTTCTATTTCTGAAGGTCTTCCACAATGCTTTCGCTACACGTTTTCTGTTGCCTAATCAAGCAAAGCGCATATGCTCTGATTTCTAAACTTAACATTTTTAGGCATTGTAACAACGGTTCATTTCCTTGATTTAACCAGTGTACCCTGAGCAAAAATTGAATGTCTATCTCTGGTCATCTGCTACTTTTCGAATTAATTTCTAATCTATTCGACCATAATGCCAAATTTCTGTTTGCCAGGCCACATATGTAGTTCTATTTTTGAGCAGATTACACTTCCTCAAAATGTCTTAGCTTAATTCCCGAAAGTTTTTTAACTGCTTCTTTTATGTGATTCCTTTTTATCTTATTAACCATAGGTCCTTGATCAAGCATCTCCTTTTTTGGCCGAGTTAATCTTGATATTTATTTTTGGTTTGAAAATTTATCAATTAATAATTATTCAATTATGTTACTTCCTTTTCATTTCTTTCTTTAATTGCCAAGATTGTTTTTTCTTATATCTAGGCTCGAAAGAAAGCTCTTACTGCTGAAGAAATGCTCGGCATAACTCAAGGTGGCCTTCTCACCCCTCGTCCACAGGCAATCACCGGTGCTGGTTATCGTCTTGCCCCATTTCCTGGGCCAGGTGTTGGAGATTCTACGCAACTGCCCGATGGACAGAAAAGAATTGGTTCCGGCATAATTGGCCTTTCGACTACTCCAAACCCGAATTCTGCTAATCTTTTCTCGGGCAATCCTATTACGAACTCAGCAAGTCTCTTACCTTTAGGTATGAGCAGTTCTATGAAGCTCAGATTACCTAATTGTGCTGTTCCTGGTGCCACTGTTGGCCCCTTGGAGTCACAATCTAGAATGACAACAAGTTACACATGTACTTCTGGAAGAACATTATGGTATGTTCAACTTTATGACCACAACTTATTTATTTACAATTTCAATTTTTATCTGAGCATATTCACTAAAATATCTTATCGCACGTGGGCGTCTATGGTAATTTATTTCCTACAATTATAAGATTATGACTTGTGTTTTAATTAAATTGGCTTTAGCCTTGTCATAAATGTCTCATCATGGCAGGCGAACCTTAGTTTCGACCGAAATGAACGGCTTCAGAAGCACTCAAATCCGGATAATGAAACGTGTGATCTCAAGCGGTTCGGCCCTTCTTAAATATCACGTGCTTTACTATATCACTAGGCAGGCGAGATCAGGGCTCATCGCTTTTATACCTAGATTATCGATGATGCAAACCTATATTTTGCCACTACTCGAATACATCTCGGGTAGATTTAAAAACTTTTTTTTACCATCACTGCAACATGCCTAAAAGATAAAAGAAATCGATCCTTTGGCCAATTGTCTGCTAAACAGTTGTGGTATCTCCTTCTTTCCTGGGCTATTCCCCTATATATCTTCGTACCATCCTATCACAATTTCTTCATTGCTTATTTTGATGTGATGTGCTATTTTGAGCGGGTTTCATTAAATATCTTCACACTGGCCCTCCTACTCCCACTCACCCTTGTTCTGAGAATGTCCATCTGCCATATTATTCCGCAATCCACTTCCATGAATCCTATCAGAGTCTCCCTCTTGCCCCGTATGATCTCTATTTCCTTGGTTCAGGTACCCTGCTTGACCCCTACCACTTTGCCTATCCTACTCGAGGCGTTATTTCATACACCCTGCATCAAGCCTTTGATGGCACGTATACTTCCGCCTCGCTGAGTAGGCTCCTAAAGTTTGTATCCTTAAGCTGGATGTGATAATAACTCGAGGCTAAATTTCCCAAATTATTTTCATGGTCAAGCATTTGTTTCATGGATCACCTTTATGATAAGATTCATTTACTTTTATTATGGAATTGCTCCATTTCGAAGAGAATATTGGTTCGAGTGAATTCGTGATGTGATCTCACAGGAAACCGAAGGAGGATTTCCGCCTAAGGGAGATTGTTGAATTTTGGGAAGACGTCCTCGGTTCATCGTTCTGCTACCCTTATTAAACTTTGCAAAGCTTTAGTCTGTACTGTCAGAGCAAGATTCCGTACTTTACAAAATAGAGCAAAAAATATACTAAACCAAATTAATACGTGGCCGGCTGCAATCCTAGTTGTTTTTTATACATTTAACATCGCAATCTTAATGAGGCCTCTCCTGATTTGATTGGCTACATCAACATTACTCTACATCCTTGCCAGTGAGTGAAGTTAACTTACTGAATCGGAAATGTGGTTTCATCACACAAAAACTAGCGTACTATAACCTAATGCCAAATCATCTTTTTGCTTGTGCTATTTTTATTGTGTATATATAATGCTTCCTATTTTATTATTTTTCTTAATTTGATCGTTTAACGCTCTTGTCTCAGCATTTACGCATATATTTAAACTTTTCCGGCCTCTTATTAGTGAACAATCCGCGCCGGACATACTTACTTCTCCCCCGACTCCATCAGCACCGAATACTTTTGGATGCTCCGACTCACTATCTTCTACTCGAAACCAGATGCCTTTAGCTACAGCAATCTCAGGTCGGCCTAGCGATGTTTTCAATCGTCTCACTAGCTGCACTCAGAATTCCCCAAATCTCATGCGGTTAGTATAATACATTTATTAGTTTCTAGCTATTCCTTCGTTATTTATCGAAATTAGTTTTGTTCCTTCCTATTCTTAAACGATAATCCAATCGTTCGATTATATTTACAGGACGTGTTAAAATTGCATTATATATAATTGTATATGCGAGCTAGGTACTTATGATAACAAATAAAAAAATGTTGATGGGATTCTTTATAATGTTACTCGTGTGTTTCTTAATACTTTGCATAATTAAGTAGCATTTTTCGTTACATGGCTTCATTAATTCGAACGTTACTATCGATAAGCCATTTACAATGGTTACTTGAATCACTTGAATGATAAATACTACTTGATTCTCGTTTAATTTTTTTAGTTTAGTACATTCTCAGTTACTTGGTATTCCTTAATATGAAGATCAAGATTGTGTGCTTAATATTAGTTTATATGACCTTAAGCTATGCACTTTTAGATTTGCCCTTGTTCTGGCATCATAATCGGTGTGTCAGACCACTTTGTGGAATATACTGTATGTCTAAAAACCCAAATAATTTTTCCTTCTCTCGAACATATATCTCTTTCAGTTTTTGCAGAGAAGCTTGTTATAATATATTGACCATGTCAGTATGATATTATCTTATTAAATTGCAAAAACGAAGGGACAAATTCGGCAATCTTATATGCATCATAGAAAACGATCTGAGTCACCATTGGATAATTACAAGCTCTTATCTACTTTAATTTATTTATTTACATATGTTAAAACATTTATATTTGCCAAAGACCACACACTTAGCTGCCTATAAACCTTCATTTACCGTCTATTTACGCCATATTAGAAGCAGCCAAACAATTCTTTTAATTTGTAGCAGCAGCAAATTAACAAGCGGTGTGGAAAATGTCGGGCTAAACGAACTTCAGAAACCTTGCAAACCGTACCTGGAACCGGTTATGAGGATAATTGTCTCACTAAATCCACTTTACGCGACATTTGAGGAAACAAGAGCATTAAATTTTGTAAATAAGTAGACGGGCCAAATGAAATGTGGCATATACAATGAGATGCGTCATTATAAGGTAGAAAAGACAATAGGTGCGAGGAGTGATCAAGGGGATCTCCTTTGTCACTTATTAGTACTAACGATGCTACCTCTCACTGACAATGTTGGCGAAAACTCCTGAGAAAGTTCCAAGTTAATGGTCCGATGCTGGAAATCACGAATAATATAACAGAGGACATTAGACCAGGTCCGTTCCACAAGTTCATTTTGACGCTCCCACCGAGTTGCAAAAAAGAGGTCCAACAATTAAATATAGTTTACTTGAACGTGTGAAGACTAAGATCGTGTGGCCTATCATATGGTCGCGGCCTCGTTTCGTTGTACGGAAATTGTTTGACCTTTTTTCCAGCTTGCTCGTATTGACAGGTCGACCTAGAGAAACATGCCTTGTCTGATCCATAGTATGCATGATTATTTCCTAGGGCTGACCGTGGATTTTTTACATTCCAAGGCATTTCGCCGATATCGCCAATAAGCCTTGCAAGACTGCAGCACACTACAACTTGCAAAGGCGAACAAATAAATAGGTCATCTGACCAGTTCTCTGCTAATTAGTTAGGGTATCTCTCCTGTTCTGTTGTATCTTATTCCATCTCCTCGTAACTTATCGTTACCATCATAATTTCCTATTTACTTATTTAGGCATGGTTCTGGTGTGCCCTTATGAGCAGATTTCATCGGATCTATTACCATTCGCAATTGCCTACCTCATCCTCCTCTGTGTTGTTAATTTTTCCCAGAATCTGCTTTATTAGTCCGCAATCCTATTACCGGTAGGATGCGACTTAACTTTCCTGTTCAGGAATTTCATTTTTTGACTGGCACCACTGCTGCTCGAGAGGCCGTAAGCCTTTAATAGTGAGTATACATCTACCTCACTCAGTCAGACCCAGTCTGGATGCTTAAGCTTGATGGTAACTATTCTATCGCTATTTATCTTCTTCCAGTAGACGTGCTGATCATTTGTCTGGTTTGTCAAGTAGTTTTGACTACAAGAATTGCTTGATGCACGTGCAGAACGAGGATAAGAGGATATATGGCCTTAGGTTATTTTTCAATCAATCAAATTGACGAGTT